AGATGCGGACATGATATCCTATTTACAAACACTATTAGAACAAATCCCTCTATTCATTAAGAGAATGTAACTATATATCTATCCTAACCATTTTTAATACACAGACACAAAATGGACATTTATCTGTATCCCCTCTTTTTGTTTAGTTCCATTATTTGAATATTATCAAAAATGAATTTTTAAAAGATAGCCCACTTGACTAAAACTGTCCTGTGTTGGTTTTGCTCTGTTCTTTCCCAGGAATGAGTTGGAAAGGCATTATTTGAATCTACTTGAGTTTAACGTTAATGTGTCTACCAGTGTTTATGCCAAATACTATTTTGATCTTCGCTCTTTAGCCAATGACAATGACATGTCTTTTGTGTTTGCACCTCTCACCAAAGAAAGAGCACAGAACCTAGAGGTAAGGTGGTATTTTTACTAAATGGGCTTTCCTGCAAGCCACCAAAGCCAGCATCCGTGCTATATTAAGTAGTGATTAGAGGAATGGAGGACATTCAAATTAACACAATCAAGAGATGACTAACCCTTTGGAGTCTCATAGCTCTCAGTTCTTTTATGGGTTTATTAAAAGAAGCACATCATTTAAAAAAAAATAAATACTACCTCCTCTTCAACCATAATTCATGATGTTTTCATGAAAAGTCCTCTGGTCAGAATGCTTTTCCTTTTGAACCTCTTTCTCTATAGCAATTTATGACTAATTCCTTGAGGTTATATTCCTTATGTGTATGTCATAAAACATTTGATGTCTTTGGAGACTTATTTAAAAAAACTATTAAACAAATTTCCCTTTTCCTGGTAATCTAATTATCAACATTAAAGGGAGTTAGTTAATTGGCTGGAACTAGCGTCCTTATAACCTGACAGTGCAGGGCCTTGGACAGACAAAGCTGTGGTGACCAGAAAGAAGCTAAGAGTCTGAAACATGATTGCACATCAGTGGCAGCTTTTCTTAACATATTAAAAAAAAAAACAACCTATACCGTTATTCTGTTGATTGACTTTCCTAGGCCCTGTCAAGACCGTGTGAAGATGAAGACTTGTGCAGAGCAGCTATGAGAAGATCTTCCAGTGACAGCAATTTCATTGTCATGCAGCTGTCTAATGCCATCCTCTCTTAAAAGGGAGAAAGGAGGCTGTGACATCATGAACCCCTCATTTATCTTACAAAAGCTGGAAAAATACATTTGCTTGCTTTAAAAAAAAAAAGGCCTGCAAAGTAAATATTTCTCCAAAAAATAAGACCTTGAACTCAAGAGACTCCTGGACAGTGATATTTGCATTCCATAGGAAAGAAGGAGCCCTCATCAAAGCAGCAACATGCTTTCTGTCCTCTTTAATGTAAAAAAAAAAAAAACAAAACAAAACAAAAAAACAAGTCCTCCAAAACAAAAGCTCCTAACTTTTTACACAGATATTTGCCTACTTTTCAGACTAATATTGTGCCTGTAATCTATGTGAGGTTTTCAAATTAAGGGATTAAATTTAACCTAATTTTAAATTTATTTTTTAATATTAGACTTTAAGCCCACTATCCACTATCCATATAAAAACAATTTCATATTTTTCTTCTTATACCCCATTCCTGAATATGCCTCTAAAATTGTTTTAGTATTATAATTAATATATAGGGATCTTTTTCACTGTATTGTGCTGAAATTAAAGCCCAGAGTTATAGCCATGCCCTGGCAAGAACTTTACCACCCAGCCCAAACATGCAAGTATTCACTACCATAAAGCCATTTAGGAGTAGACTGCAGCATTTTCAGATATTTCTTCCTTCACATACTATCACTGAGTTGCTAGTCTTTATTGTCAATAACCTGAAACCAAAAGGTACTGGATACCACTTGCCACTCATGTTCTTTGTAAGCATTACTTAGTAGTGCTGTGACATGTTTGTGGTTATAAAATCAAAGTATCAGTTAGTGACTGTCTACTTCTGATAGGTCCATGCTGCATCTTTAAACTATTAATCATGCTTCCCATGTTATGATAATTTTCCTCTTGTTAAGTAAACATATTACAAAGTACTTTTATAATGTAAACCAGCATGGTGGTCCAGTAATCACTAGCAGATAGTCAAGTATGAAGCTTCCAAATTTTTAGTATATTTTTAAGCCTTCTCCTCCTGAGCACCTGCCTCTCAGCATACTGCAGCAGGTAAAAGAGCCATAAATGTTTATGAAACAGCATTAGAACATTTTAACTCTGTAAATTTGGAATATTAAGCTTTTATTATTTTTTTCTGGTCTCTTGTAATAGAATTTTTAATCTCCTATACATCTGTTTGGATTTGTTTCATGGGCTCCATTTCTTTCCCATGTTGGGCCTTCATGGTTTCCATTGTTTTCCTAAGCTCCTGTATTTATTTTATCTGTGTTTATTTTAATGTTTTTCATTTTGATCATCATTTCTTTTTTCACCTGAGAAATTATTTTTCTACAGCCATTTGTGATTTTACTTCTGCTACTTTCACTACAGAAAGTTCCAGAGGCTTTCTTCCAGTTTCTTTTATCTCATTCTGCTCTGGACTTGTCCTGGGTGGGCTGGAGATCTGGAGCTGTCTTTCTGTCTTGCCATTATCTATTTTATACTTTTATTTTGTTTTCTATGCTGATCTTTGTATATTTATTATGTTAGTTTTATCAATAGTATTGAGTTTTCCCTAGGAAATGTTTACTCCCTAGAGATGTCTTCTAGGTATAAGCAGTTCATGGTCTTTGTGTCTGTCACAAGTACTTACCTTCCTAATTTATTAAGAATTATAAATTACTATCTCTTTGGCTCAGCATCTAGTCCTTTGGTACTGGAGTATGGTGATTATTATGACTCCAGACAATGCAGGGGAGAAAAACTGATTAAAACAGTTGTTAAATCCTGGCTAAAGTAGTACAGTTAGCAATAACAATAGCATCAAGTGCTACAGTCATATAACAAAATCCAACACACTGTAAGAACTTGTAATGCAAGTAGATTTATTTTAGTACAGTGATTTTTACTTAGGGGTGGGGTGATTAAGAGGGATAGGGGACAAAACTGAGAAATAAATGAGGATAAATATAGTAAAAGCAATGACGGAGGACAAAGGATGATGACTTCAGTTTTGGGATTCTGAAGAAAAGCACAGGACAGAAAGAATGAGAGAAAAAGAATATTGAAGTGAACAGACAAAGAAGAGACGATGTTCATTCATGTGAACATATCATAACATCAAGAGAGATATTTCAGGATGGAGAGAAGATGAATGGAAGAAAACAAAAATAAAGGTAAGAAACCTAAATAGTCACAAAGAGAAAGAAACCCAATCAGACAGAAAACAATCAAAACCAATCCAACACTCAAAGAAAAAGAAAAAAATAATAAAATTCCTCAGGTATCCACATTTCTGTGGTATCTAAGTTGGATCCTAGAAATATGCTATGTAGTCCTGTGAAGTTTGCAGGAGTATTTGTGCTGGTTATGTGGTTGATCTTGGCTTCTGGGTGTGGTGGCTGTGACTGGTCTTAAACTGAGCATATTCTGGGTGTCCACTTCTCACTGTGATTATACATACATGTGGTGCTCTCCCAGTTGCTGTGGCACCCTATACTGGGCGTGTTTGTAAAAATTATCTGTTCATATAACAGTACATCCATGCAGAATTTAAATGCTTTCTGTGTCATTCCTGGTGGGTTTTAAAATATTTTCAAGCTAACCTTATTGAAGCTGGCTTGATCTAGGCTTTTGGAAGGTGTAGTAATTAAAAATTAATGTCTTTTGTTTAGCCTTTTTTACTAACTGAGTATGATGTAGCTAGATAGTGTGTCTGAGAGAGGAAAGTACTTGAGAAAATGAACTTAGTTAATACATCTCAAAAAAAAGCAACAGCAGGAATAGTACAAAATTACATCAGTATGTGTTTGAGGTTTGCAGAGAATAATGCTAAAGAAAGGAAGGGGCAAAAAATTAAGTTGGATTTACTACTGTACAAAGGGTCACTTAAAACAAGACACAAAATTGACACTAACATACTATTTTTAAACATGTATTTTTACTAGAAATAGACCAGATATATGCATGGCTTCTTTAATGCAGGTGTCTACCCACTCATGGATTCTTGATCTACAGTATTGTTACATATTAATTTATTTGTCAACTTTCAGGAGTTACAGCTAAGTCTTCAAAGGATAATGACATTGTTGTTGCTGTACTGCTGGTTAGGATAAATATTCTGATTTAATTATAACGAAAAAATATAGAATGAGTATGATTTCCATACTATGTCAGTTCCTAAGAGGAAGTGTTCATGAATAATGAAAAATTATTTTTTCAAAAACTTGGGAGAGGGACACTGGACACTGTCTGTAACTTCAAGAGCAAGTAGGAAGAATAAATAGAATCACTAAAAACCACTCTCCCCTCTTTCCCTTAACTCTGGAAGGAAATACAGCCATTTTGGAAAACAAGATGCAGTTACAGCACTGAAAATAATTTTTCTGGTATTCAGTATTACGGATCATGGAAACCATAGTGCTAATAGGTTTTTAAATAGCAGTTTTATCAGGTTAATGTATAAAGCAAATATATTGCTATAGTCTTAACAGTACTGAGTCCTAGATCTCCTGATGCTGTGCTGGGGATTGAACCCAGGGCCTCTGCACTGGATTACATCCCCACACTTTATTTTGAGATAGAATCTCATTAAGCTAAATTGCCCAACCTGGAGTTGGAATTGTGATTCTCCTCTTTCATGAGTCCTAGTTTTGTAACAGGTGACCATCTTGATTCATAACTTTTGCTTAAAAATTAAGCAAATTCTGGAATTATTGATATTCAAATTTTTTTGCATGTTCAGGTTAGGCAATAGTTTCAGGAACTAGTTTAGCTATGCCATTCAAGCTAGCTTAATTATCTTTTACCACCCAATTTTTTCAATTCTATACTGCCAAGAATTAAAGGACATCTTTAGAACTCTTACAACTTTAGGAAACAGTGTTAATGGCCACACATAGATTTTTTTTTATCCCACATAAAACAAGGTGCAGTGGATGGAAAGAAAGCAAGAGATATAAAGTTATGGAATTAGGAAGCTACAGTCTATAGGACTAAAGCCTTGGTTGCAATTTTCTCCAGCCTTTTACTAAGATTCTTTCACATATAAACAAGAGTAAGAGAAATGAGAGGAATGATTAAAAGGTTTGTGAACATATTATAGTTTAACTGTCCTGGGAACTGTCCTTTGGCTTACCTATCCACCATGTCACCTTTCCTTTGGACATATCTCAGCAAAACATCTTGTGCTATCCAGCAGCATTCCACGGGGACTAAGTCCTGTTTTCATTTCCTTTTATACTAATGTTTTTACTAGTCTTCCTCCAGAACAAAGAATCATATGGCCTGGTCAGGCTCAAAGTCCCACACAATTTATACCTTGTAATATAAACTATAAGATGTCCTTTTCCACATAAGTATATCTCTTTTATATAATAACAAAATGTTTATTTCATCAAAGCTAATGGATGTAGATAAAGCTTTAAATGGCAGAACCAAATTTAGAAAGAAGTCAAAATTTGACCACTTTTAACTTCTAGATATGTATATATTAAAGAGACCACCTATTTGTCATTCTGTGTGTACTAAATTTATGTAGGCTTAATTCTATACAAACTTGAAGGCTTAGACCCCAGTATCTTGTGCCTTTTCATCTATCTATCTATCTATCTATCTATCTATCTATCTATCTATCTATATCCATAAAGTACTATAATAAAAAAATGAAACTTAGCCACTGATAAACTGATTATTGAAAATGACTTACAAGCTAACACTTAAATGATTTTTAATTCTTAAGACAAATTTTTGGAGCTGGATATAGCTCAGTAGCACAGTGCCTAACTGGCAAGCACGGATCATGAGTTCAATTCCTGTTACAATTTTTTTTTTTTTGGTCATCAAAAAAAGAAATGAGGGCTGGCTTGATAGTTCAGAGGACTAAAGCAACCTACTTAGGCAGAGCTCAGAGGCTGGGGTTCGATCCGCAGTGTACGGTGCTGGCCCCACCACATATGGTGCCGGGCAGGTCACGCTGAGACAGCGACTGAGACTGGGTGTGGTGGTGCGTGCCTGTAATCCCAGCACT